GATATGACATGCTCTGTTTTGAGGGTATTGTCACCAATCTCAACATCTTCCGCGGACGAATTGAGCCTCCCAAGTACCGTTTAGTCGAACCCGCAAGCGGCAAGCTTGAGTCAATCACCGTCAAGCCCGAAGCCGAGCAGGTCCGGCCATATGTCTCTGGCGCTATCCTCCGCAACATCAAGTTCGACAAGAGCCGTTACGAGTCCTTCATCTCTCTACAAGACAAGCTTCACCAGAATCTTGCTCGAAACCGGACACTAGTCTCCATTGGTACCCACGACTATGATACTATCAAAGGTCCCTTCACCTACGAGGCTCTCCCCCCCAAGGATATCAAGTTCATACCCTTGAACCAGACCAAGGAGATGGACTCTGCTGAGTTGATGAACTTCTATGAGGCTGACAAGCACCTGGGCCGCTTCCTCCACATCATTCGCGACTCACCAGTCTACCCTGCGATCTACGACTCCAACCGTGTTGTCTGTTCCCTTCCTCCAATTATCAACGGCGATCACTCCAAGATTACACTTGACACCACCAACGTTTTTATTGAAATCACCGCCACCGACCTCACCAAACTCGACATCGTCACCGACATCATGGTCACCATGTTCTCCATGTACTGCTCTGAGCCTTTCACTGTCGAGCCCGTCCAGATCAATTCCGACCATAACAACCAAACCCGAGTCACTCCTAACCTGAAGCCCAGAGTTGCTGAGGTTGAAATCGACTACCTCAACAGCTGCACCGGGCTCACCGAGTCTCCCGAGAGCCTGTGCAAGCTTCTCTCCAAGATGTCCTACACCTCTACACCCTCAACAAAAGATTCCAACATCCTCGAGGTTGCTATCCCCCCAACCCGAGCTGATGTCCTTCATCAATGCGACGTGATGGAAGATCTTGCTGTGTGCTACGGATACAACAACCTTCCTCGTACTGCTCCCTCGCGAAGTGCTACCGTTGGTGCCCCACTGCTGGTCAACAAGCTCAGTGATATTATCCGAATCGAGGCCGCCGTTGCTGGCTGGAGTGAGGTTATGCCCCTGATCTTGTGCAGTCACGATGAGAACTTTGCTTGGCTAAACCGTAAGGATGACGGAAACACCGTCGTACGTCTGGCCAACCCCAAGACCGCTGAGTACCAGGTCGTGCGATCAACTCTTCTACCTGGTCTTCTCAAGACCATTCGTGAGAACAAGGGCCATAGTGTGCCAATGAAGATCTTCGAGGTCTCTGACGTTGTCTTCAAGGATGAGTCTCAAGAACGCAAGGCTCGCAACGAGCGACATTTCGCCGCCGCCTGGTACGGCCGAACAAGTGGTTTCGAGGTCGTCCATGGCCTGCTTGATCGTGTTCTTCTCATGCTTCGAACTGCTTTCCTCACCCACGAGGAGGGTCTTTCTGGCAAGAGTGTCGATTTTGAGGTAAAGGAGAACCCCAGCAAGCCCGATGGTTACTGGATCGAGGAGCTTGATGATGCCACCTTCTTTGCTGGCCATGCTGCTTCCGTATATCTCCGTCTTGGAGGAAAAGAGAGACGCATCGGCGAGTTCGGCATCTTGCATCCTACCGTGTTGGAGAAGTTTGATTTGAAGTGAGCCCCCATACCGACCATTATCGACGTGGCATCGCTAACATATTCATAGATACCCTGTCAGCACTCTCGAGATCAATCTCGAGGTTTTCCTGTAATGTCAAAGAATCTGAAGAAGACCTACAACGCGAGGGTTAGAGCAGCAAAAAGCGGCGACGGACGCAACGAAATCACGTGGATATGCTTCAATGTGAACAAGCACGTTTCCACAACTAGGAAGACCTTACAAGATAGACAAAAATAAAGAAGAAACCAAACAAGGCCGAGTTGAACTTATGAGTAAACCGAAGGGTTTGATTTATTATACTCTATAACTACCTACCTAATTCATGTAGTCTTGAAGGAGTCTATTGCTGTCTAAGCCCTCGCCGTGTACAGCGTGTTTGGCGCAAAATCAGAATGTCATCACCACTCAAGCGAAACGCCAATGCCGGCTCATGATATGCCTCTAACGCCAATAAAAACGTCCGCATGCGTAATCAGGAAACCAAGTTTGGCAACTCAGACATCATGAACCTGAATGCTCTGCCTACATCATTGAATTTGCCATCGCACGCCTCTGCCCATCAGATTTGAAGAGGACTCTCTCGAGCTTTGCCACAGGTTTTGGCATTTCAATAGATGGAGAGTGACATGGCGTCGGCAGGCCGACATCGGGCTGGGGACTATCAATGGAGTTAAATCTTGAGTGAAGGCCCAGAGACTCAGAGTCGCGCCGTTTGATATACTCCCATTCTCCACTGAGATCGCTGGGTACGCTGTAAGAACTGCGGCGCTCAAGCGTTGACGGTGCGTCGGATTTTGTTGTCAGAAGCGGCGGTACTACGGGTGGGTGTAGCCATGGACAACAGTGCCGCACGGATTCATGGGTCTCGATAATCAAGTAAGGGCCAGGATCAGACTCTGGAAACATGACCTTCTATGTCATCTCACGTAGCTCCTGGTCGCTACGAGCTGGTGCGGGAGCTGAACTTGACGACTCGCCAGTATTTGTAAGTTGCCCCAGCATTCCCTTGCCTAGATTGAGACCTGCAATCCCGTCCCTGATAGCGGCAAAGGCGTTGCCGCTTGGTTCGGTAGAGGCGCTCCGTTCGATTGGTGCAAGTCGTGATTCAGGGGTGAGTGTCTCGTGGGCAGTCTCAACTCCAGTGAGAACCGAGGGTGGCCCCGACTTGGAGCTTGAGCTAGATGACCGAGGATCGGCATCTGCCTGGATAACGCTAGGATACTGTAAATTTGATATAGCGGTTTGGCGGTCAGTCTCTGCAGCGGCAGCGGCGTTCAAACCGCCGTTCATCTCATCCTCAGTTCTTCCGAACAGCTGATGCCACCACCTTATCTCCTTCAGTCGCGGTAACAGGATCCGCTCCTGTCCTTTGACGTGATCGTCGATACTGGCATCGAAGTCGGGGTTTGTGAACTCAGCTCGCCGACACAGAAAGTAGTCCCAAACTGAAGACGTCCGTTCTGCGGCCCGCGCATCTTTTCTCTGCTTCTCTGAATTAAAGAGGAAAGTGCCGTACTGACACGAGTACAGGTGGTATAGAAGGCGGCGCAGGAAGCGCTCATTATACTCAAAACGAGTCTTGTTTTGGCGTAAAAGTTGATAGGTGCAGTCAAGAAACTGGTGAAAGACAGGACTGACCATCTTTGGAGAGGTGGCTTCATCATCAACAACCTTTCCAGGGGCTGTTTCACTAACAGCAGCCAAGTCGGGGTCATCTTTATTCTGGTTGAAGAAACGCTTTGCACCGCTCAGCACATTCTGGAACGCGTCACCCCGGCCATCGTTCTCCCCGGGCTGAACCTTGGAACCTGCAAAAGCATCTCTCTGCACAGCGAACCAATCCTCGTGGTTCAGGTGACCCGATCGAAGCCTGAACATGTGACCGAAGGACAACCAATCTTTTTCCACAAGAACGATGAAACCCTCAATTGTGCGGTAGTAGGGGTCCAGCATGATTTGAGCCAAAGCACTGAGCTGGCTGGTACGGTCCCAGCCGTCGGAGCAGTGGATGAGAACGTGTGAATGGTTGATCCCGATCTGTCTTGCAATTATAGCTGAGCCATCCAGAACATCATGGATGTGCCGTAACCAGCCACTCTGATGGAGCAGCTCTCTGTTTGGCGGTAAAGGTGAAATGTCGGCGTCTTTGAGTGCGTCAATGACCTTGTTGAGGGAGCTTCGCATGACGTGAATATTCTCAATACTAAGGAATATCTTGCGTGCAAACTTGTACTTGTCCATATTCTCCGAGCCCATACCCTGTACTTGATTCACCATTGCATTGATAGTAGGACGAGCATCCACAATCAGGTTGCTCTGCTGTGCACCATATACTTGACGCTTTCCGGAAGAGTCATAAACGGCAGCGGATCTCGAAATGAGCTCATCTTCATACCGTTCAGTCTCTGAAAGCTCCGGCTCCAGTGATGAGTTTCCAAGGGAGACATCGGGCTGGCTCGATAGAGGCGTGCTCTCCTCGGACCCTGGTGGCAAAAGGGCGTTGAAAGATGCTGCTACTAGTTTCTCATCCTGCACGTTTGTCTTCCTTGTGATGCCGGAGAGGGGCTGCGAGCTTCGAGTGATGGTACAGTTGTTTACTGGATGGATGTACGACAGAGCCGGCACGCGGTTTCTCGAGCGGAACTCTTTCGCATATTTAAGGACATTGTCCGAGATTTTCGAGGGAACAACCAGAAAAGCAGGATATGTATCGCAAAAGGTGTAGTCCTTGTTGATATGTGTGATCCTCCAACCTTTGTCAGGCAATTTCTCGCTGATGCCCTGGCGTCTGAACTCTGCTTTGGGATCATAGACTGACCAACCGTCAACCTCTCGCTCATGCTTTAGAGGCTTGTGAGAGAAAGCATATAGCTTCTCTACTGTTCCTAATTTGCAAGTCCGAGACTTGATAAAATCGAAAGCTTCTCGGGCAATCTCGCTGTCGGTGAAGTTGAATGTCACAAAGGTGAAGTCACGACATCGCAAACGGATCGACGGAGCCTGGCGAGATCCAGGAGGCACCGGCCGAAGTGCGCAATAGCACAGCATGGGATATGGAATCCATCTCTCGCGAACTTTGGTCTTGTGAGACGAACTTTCTGAGGGTTTGGCGGATTGATCGATGGGTGCGCAGAATACCAGATGGAAATCGGTCAGTCGCAAAGTGCCATGAGTTGTTTGGCCGCCATAGATACCCTGGACGCTCTCGATGATCTACATGACGTTAGGAGCCGAAACGGAGCGCAAAGTCGTGCAAGAGCAGGCGGGATGCTCCAAATGGCGACTAGAACCAGGCGATCACGCGTACCTTTCGGGCTTCCATTTTGACAACAGTGGCCTTGCCGCGTTGTATTCACTAGACGGCGAGAGATGTCTCTTTCTAAAGTTTATGTTGTACCAATGATCTCTTTGTATGTCGGTGTGGACGATTTCTCGGAAGCTCTGGTGATGTAGTAGTAGAGGTAGCTCAATATCGCGGGGCCGCCGGAAGATGAAGAAGTAGCTGTTGTAAGGCGACCTTGGAGGGGAGGTTATGAGACGGACTCTGACATATTCGTCACTTCCAAAGTAAGAAAAATTAGAGGCGCATGGGGGAAAACCTTGGCCGCGACTCTGTGTATTAATGGATGGAGTTTCTTTTAGAGCCAGAGACAGCTCACACTCACCAGCACGAGCCACAGGCGCCCACTTGGCATAAGGCAATGGAAGGTCTATGGCAGGCGGGGCTCAGCGCTGTCAGCTACCAAAACCTAAGAAACCGCGACGTCACCCCAGAGGTGAAGGCCATCACCATGGTCCAAGCACTTTCCCATTTTGGGCTGCATCTCGTTAATTTATTTCTCCGTTCTCCGATTGAGACAGAGAATACGTACTTCTTACTTACAGTACACATGTCTTCCCATTCGAGACCCACTTCTCCAAATGGAATGTGCGACCTGGGGACCCGCCTGCCGATTTAGGGCTCAACCACACACCAAAAAATATTGAGCGAGTAAGCCAACATTTGTGAGTGCAGTGAAGCCGAAATCCACCCAGGATCGCGAATCTTTCTCTTCAGCCCGCCAACCCTCAGCTCGCCAACAGACTCAAGACAAGACACCAAGTCAAGTCCAGTCCCGACAACACAAGTCCTATTTTCAAGATGGCTCACCCCGGATCTCAGATGTGAGTTATTGTCCTTGCAATTGCGAACCCCTTCTTGATCGAATCGAAACGTCGCCATCGCCATCGCCATCGCCCATCGTCACCCCGCCAAATATCATCCTCTCGTCAGGAGAAGCCGAGTCAAGAGTCCAAGATTCACTAACAATCCTCTTCACAGCTCCAAGCGGAGAAAGTTCGTCGCCGACGGTGTCTTCTACGCCGAGCTCAACGAGTTCTTCCAGCGCGAGCTCGCTGAGGAGGGCTACTCCGGCGTCGAGGTCCGCGTTACCCCCACCGTCACCGATATCATCATCCGAGCCACCCACACCCAGGAGGTTCTCGGTGAGCAGGGCCGCCGCATTCGCGAGCTCACCTCGCTCATCCAGAAGCGATTCAAGTTCCCCGAGAACTCCGTCTCCCTCTACGCCGCCAAGGTCCAGAACCGTGGTCTCTCCGCCGTCGCCCAGTGCGAGTCCCTCCGATACAAGCTTCTTAACGGTCTCGCCGTCCGACGTGCTTGCTATGGTGTCCTCCGCTTCATCATGGAGTCTGGTGCCAAGGGTTGCGAGGTTGTCGTCTCTGGTAAGCTCCGTGCTGCCCGTGCCAAGTCCATGAAGTTCACCGACGGCTTCATGATTCACTCTGGTCAGCCCGCCAAGGACTTCATCGATCACGCTACCCGTCACGTTCTCCTCCGACAGGGTGTCCTGGGTATCAAGGTCAAGATCATGCGCGGCTCCGACCCTGAGGGCAAGGCCGGTCCCCAAAAGACTCTCCCTGACGCTGTCACCATTATCGAGCCCAAGGAGGAGCAGGCTGTCCTCCAGCCTGTCAGCCAGGACTACGGCGCTAAGGCCGCCCAAGCCGCTCAGGCTGCTCAGGATGCTCGTGTTGCTGAGGAGGAGGGTGGTGATGAGGTCCAGGCTGTTGAGCAATAGGATGCTTAAATCACCAGGCTGGGAATAGCCGTCAAAACCTGATGAAGGAAAGATGGAGATCCGTGGGATGAGAGACGGAGGTCTACTCAGGCGTCAATTGATCATTTGCATCTGCTAAAGGGCACGGACGGTTTCATTCTTGCTTGTAATGGTAGGCAAAGCATAAAAGAGAAAAAATGAGACCCCAAGATTACGACGACACGTCTTGTGACTGTGTCTTCTGTCTACCAATACCTTGAGTACCTCTGAGAGGCCTTGTTTGAACTGAGTACGTGAATGTCTTGTAGACAGTGGTGGCTGGCGTCCCTACATAATATCGGGTGAAACGCTCAAGTCTACTATCACGCTCGCTTGTCTCTCTCCAGGGTACTCTATATTCTCATACTAATGCACACCACAGCTCAGGGAGCGTCGTAACCACAATGAGACAGTTAATCATGCCATTGATGGCCATCTAAGTTCTACAAAGAATCTCAGAGGCTGCGATTGGGTTCAGATGTTTGTCGATGTTCAATTATATAGCGGTTTGAAACATACATCCTTGTTTAGAGATGTTGTTAATATCTAGCTCCCTTGTCAAGCATCTCAATTGACTTACGGAACTGGCAAATGAACGAACTGTCTGGCCAACAATCATTTATCATTCGCAATTAACCAAATAAGCAAATCTTGGACATAGCTAGAGGCCACGGCACACATGTATATCTATATCACGGAAAAACAGGCATCGAAAGATATATTCATAAGGCACATTGCGGACAGCACAATAGAGAACCCCATATAATCAATCAGGGCTTTGCATTTCCAAGCTCAAATATTATTTTTGTCAGATACACTTCCACCTGCAATTCCAATGTACTAAACGTCGTAATAATTCTTGTCTATAGTAGGTAGCCTCTGGCTTCCCCTCTTTTCTTGTTGAAATTCAAACTTGGCTTCCTCGAACCTAGAAAAAGCCCTGCGACTTGGATAACAGATCTACCACACCCGAAACATTCGTTCATGCCCTGGAGAATTGAGGCAGTGATATACGCCCCAAATCGCCTTTTAATCGACTTATAGACGTAGACAGTGACGCCTCCTTTGATCCGAACCCATCCCTGTATAAACGGCCCTGATATGGAAGTACCGCCGTCCAGTCCCATCCTATCGCTCATGCTCTGTAGTTATCGTACAACGAGGATTCGCCTGTCGCCCCAATACAAAATCCGCCAACGCCGTCCAAGACCGTGTGCCCATAGTACTCCAGTAATAGCAAACAATACATGTCGTCGATTCCGAGTCCCAATCCCGTTTGGCATAGGCAAAACACAGTTGGCACCAACATTAAAGTATGTCGTTGCGTAATGTACCATCCGCGAATGCAGCCCATACTCCGAGAGAAATGCCCGGTCAAATGGTTTGAAAATGTACAATGCCTGTTTGAGATGATGAAACATGCAAGATATCGTTTGCGGAGCTGATGATCGGGGGTTAACCGATATTATTTTACTCCGCCCCCACGTAGCTGGCAACGTCGCAGTCCATCATCGATCGCCTGACTTGTGGCGGTTATCGAGCTCGATGTTTTCGTCATAGCTCGCTTTGCCATTGCCGTTGGCGTGCCGAACATCTTCGTCACTATCCGAGGCGAGGTCGGTTAGAGCGAAACCAGCAGCTTCTTCCTCGTCGTACGCGCGAATGAGGCCCTCGCGGTCTCCACGTTGGCTGCTCATGCTGTGTCGTGAGGGATCGCCGCTCCTCCTTGCCTGCATACTCAGACGAGTTTGTAAGCCAGAAACCATGTCAGTACCGGTGGCGTCGCTTCCTCCTCGTCCAGCGGTCAACCTTTGGCCATGGGGGTCACCTCTGGAAAGGTTCAGGAGATAGACGCCGGTAAAAGTGACCAAGAATCCGCAAAGCAGCGACAGAGTGTTGACTGGGTCGTTCGTGTTGAATCCGCTGAAGAGGATAAAGGAGGCACAGAGGGTGGCGGTGGTGAACGTTACGTAGTAGAGAGGGTTAACACTAGCACTCCTATCAGTAAAGGCCTACTGTTAGAACTCCATAAGCCACTTACATGTTAGTGGGGAAGCTGGCAAGAGCTTTGTTGAAGTAATTCATCTGAGTCACAATGCATACGGCCGTTAAAATCATGAAAACGTATGTCGAAGGGTGGCTGAACTGGTTGTGGCCAGCAAAAGTAAGCTTAAGCGCAATACCAAAAGCCTTGACAGACATGACTGAAATGGATCCGACGGTGGAGCAGATGGAAAGATAAATGAGGGCGTTTCTCCTGCCATAGACAGGGGCGATCTTGTAAATCATAAAGACGGCAAAAGCAACAACGGCGAAGGCGTAGAGAAGAAAACCTGGTATCAGTTTTAGAAACTGGCATCCCCATAAATATTCTCCTTGTGTACGAACCTGGCTGAATTGCATAGTGCAAGATCTCGTCGACGGTCTCGATCTCCTCATCCGGAGGCGCATGAAGAACAATAATGACAGCACCGATCAGGCATATAGCACTGCCGAGCTTGCCCAGCGTACCAAGCTCTTCGTTGAGGAAGTACGAGCCAAGAACAGCACCAATGAGCACACTGAGAGCTCCAAGAGGTGTGACGAGGATGGCAGGGGCGAAAGCGTATGCGGCAAAGTTGCAGACTTCTCCTAGACCAACTAATTTGATGTTAGTGAACATGTCAATGGGGATCATGTCTGATAGAGCACTTACGAGTCGCAATACCGGCCCACCACAAGGGATTCCGAAGGTAGACAAAGCCGTCGCCTTCAAAGCCATGTCGCTCTTCTGCTTGGATTAATCCCTAAGTTAGGAAGTGGATTAGCTTCTGCTCAAGGCGAGATGCAGGACATGGCGCCAGCCGTTGAAGCAACGATAGAATTCGCCGCTCGCGCAGACAGACAGTAGCTATATTGGACGAACCTTTTTTGTGATAACGAAGCTTGTTCCTGAAATATGGTCAGCCTTGTGACGCCCCCAATGTAATCAAACATGACTTACCAATCGCCAAGGCCGATGTCATAGCAAGAGCCAGGCCGATATACCTTGAGGGAATATTAGCATTTGTAGCGAGAATAGCGTGGTCGGGTTACAAGAAGGACCCGATCGAGGTGGCTTCTCAGGAGAAGGCCAGCGGGAGTGGAACGCGACATACTTGTCTTCAATCATGATGTTCTAGAGGGCGCACGACAGTGACGAAACGCACAAAGTCGACTTTTCTATATATGTACCCAATGCGCTGAAAGCGATGATCCGAATCGAATAACGGGTTGGGCAGAATGCGCCGCAGAGAGTCGGAGCTGAACTGAAAGGATCGTTCACTATTGGCGTGGGCTCGCACCGGGCGAGAGAAGCCGTATAGCAATAATGAGTGTTGAAACGAGTGAGTTATTGATGAACAGGGCTCGACTTTATTGCAGACACATCAAAGTATTGCCGCAGGATCTTCGTTGGGAAAGTTAAATCGAGATTGGAGTTCTGGCCGCGTGGACGACTACAGAGTCTTGGTGTTGGATGCAGATGGAGGGGGGACCAGGCGTGCTGCTGTCGTTGTAAGGAAGCGGTTTGCGACGGAGCAAGGTCGGTTTTAGGGTATCGTATGGTCCAATTATTGTCGAATCCGTTATTGACTTCGTATCTTGACAAGCGTGAGACTCGTGATGCGCAACGACGGTATTCGCAAAAGGCAGGGGGGGTTGGATGATAGGGAGAAGGGACAGCTTGGCTGGATTGTAAGTAAAAATGGAGAGGCTGCAGCAGCAGTGCGGATGGGATAAGATACAGTACGTACGTATGTGCTGTGCTGTAGGAGGTAAGCGGTTGACGGGTATGGGTCAAGTCCAGTTCGTGTGGGAGAGACAGAGACAAAGTTTGGGGAGGCCAGATCAGACCCGACGAGACCAGACAGGGGCCTGCTAGCTACAGGCTACGGGAGGCTTGGACAAAACCAGCAGTGGAGAAGCAGAAAAGGCTGAGGTACCTGGGCAGAGGTGAGATTATAGTGCGCTGACAAGTACCGCCACCAGAATCAGGCACAGCAAAGTTCAAGAGGTTTCAAGAGAGGGCGCCAACAGAGGACAATGGATCCATCCACTACCCCCTGGCGTCAGGTCCATGGCCCTGGCGTTACAACTTAGACTCACTAACACTTCAGGGCCCTCAGGACCAAGGTAAAAAAGAGGTGTCCTGGGGTAGGGATCCTGCCCGAGGTCAAGTGCCTGAATGCCTGCACTTTTTTTTCTCTTTCCCTTTCTTGCATCTGATGACACTTCATTCCACGATCCAGTTATTTTATCTAAGAGTCCCCGAGAAACTAGTGACTAGCAGCCCGTAAAGATAAAACAAACCACTGAAATACGGCAACTTAAGGGAAACTCGGCACGGACCCGAGCGTCGAAACATCCATAGCAATTGCATTAGGTTGCCTATTGACTTCTGCTGACTTTGAAGTACTACCTACTTACCTTAGCATCTGAGGACAGGACAATAGGTACAATAAATAATTAGTTGTATGTAGGTATGGATCTAAAGCCGAGGCTTGGACGGCACGATACGACACAACCACAGCAAAACACGATACGATCGATGGGTGCGAGTGGTTCTCGCCCCTGAACTAATATTTGACACGCACACAAGTACGTTCGTTGGACATGCAGCTGTCAGCTACAACAGAGACTTGGGTTGTTGCAGAATATTCACCAATATCGCAGTCACTTGAAATAGCCAAATACCTAGGTGGTATCCGTAACGTCAGTGGGATTGCCGTATTGTTGATCAGTTCCCCAGAATAGGTACTGTAACTCTTGTCAGTTGCTCTGGACAGGACCTCTAGATTTCTTGTGCATACCTACCAACCTATGTCTGTACTTATATATCTAGTTTATACGTTTCCATTAGATTAAAAAGTAACCAAGTGACAGATATCCGTATATACATACATACACGACTCTGGTGATGCTCGCCGACTTTTACTCCCTGCCCCTGCACACTCAATTCACTTCCACTACTAGCGCTTCCGACTGCTTGATTCAAGGGGGACGGACGATAAGCCCCTTGCTTCCATTCTCATCATCTGCTTCTTACTCGCCATCTTTCGGCTTTAACCCCTGGACTCGTCTCCATTTCCAGCCCATCAAGTTCGTCCTCGTCCCGCAACCTGTCCTCGTGTCCACGTCAGCAGCCCGCATCTCAAGCTCCAAACAGTCAGTCCTTGATTTTTTTGGGGGAAAATGTTTTTTTTTAGCATCCGCAGTTCGGTAGTGCCTCGCTCGCTCCGCTGTAACAAAGATCGAGAACTTCTCACCAGCGCCTCCCGTGCGCCACATTTAATAGTTTTCGGTGTCTGAGCCACTCGACGTTAGATATGTTTGTCCTTACTGAAGCAGTTGCGAGAAACTACAACAAATACCTAGGTATACAAGTATCGTCTTGGCAGGTGGACTCTTGCCGTCTATGAATGAGTGAATCCAAAATGCAACTTGGTCTGATATTGTGGGCTGTTATTAACACGCCAACCCTACTCCGTACCTACATACTACGTATTCATCTTGTTCCTGATCGACACTCTTAGCGCTCAACTTAATCAACCCCTAACGTAGCCGACACCTTCCAACAGGGATCCATGACGCCCTTTAATGCTACGGGTGACTCGGCGCTGGAAACAAGTCAAGGGATCAATGCTCATCACTAAAGTGTTTCGATCTTTTGTTTCTGTTTGGTGGTGACGATCTGGCCAAAACCCCTTCACCATGATTATCACGATAATCCAGATCACGTTATTTATAGAATCTTAGCGACCAGATCTCAAGATAGATAGGTAGTGTTCTCATCAAGCGAATCTGCTAAAGGCTCCCCAGGACCCTACACCAAACGCCTTCAATGGCCACCTAACCCGGTAGTCTAGAAGGCTCATATTGTTTGCTATAAGTAACCCCCGACTAAAGCGTAGGTAGAGTATAGATCCACATCAGAAATGCTGTCCGTCTCAACTATCTCCCACGCTTCACTATAACTTCAACTCCAAGCACCGTTCACAGCTTTGAGTTTTCCCTCCGGTCCAGCCGCCAACGCCTCATTCCATCCCACGAACCATGTCATATCATACAGAACCAGAGCTAATCCATCTGTTCTCTTACCAACCAGGATCGTGCATTTTGTTCTTATATTATTATTGTGAAAGGGGAAAGGGTATCGACACTTGCGTCATCAACAATCGAGTATGGAACAAAACAAAACAAACGGCCTTGTGGTCGGTGGCCGGGATCAAGCTCGACCTCATGAAATGCAGAAATGCATAAGATCTTTCTTTGCCCTATAAAATTAGTAGATGTGGATTCATTTCTTACCTACCCAGAATCCGCTGGTATGATGGGTGTCTGTGACCCATATTGTGTCGTTCAGAACATGTTGCATTCATTCTTACCACCAGGAAAACTTCTGCGACAATAGCGTTGAGAACAACGACAAAGGTCAAGGACCTGACTGTCGAGTTCAGATAGCCACTGGGCATCATATTACCGGCAGCTGTTGAATTTTAGTCATTGAAGAGGGGGTTTGCTTGTCGATATTGGAGAATGTTGCAGTTAGTTTGGAGGCGAAATTATTCAGGGACGACGGCGCTTGGCATCTGCATAACGTTAGTCAACATTGCAACTCAGCTGAGGATCTTCCTTGACGCACCTTGCTCATCCTCTGCATTTCCATCATCGTCACCACCACGGGGTCGTTTACCAGCAGCCGAAGGAGTGCTTGGTGCTTGGTCTTCTGGCTCATGTTCATCTCTCCAGTCGATTTCGTCCAGGTCTTCATCGTCGGTCTTCCGTTTCTCGGCTGTCTCTACTGTCGCAGAAGCCTCTCCGAGGTCAACGTTGAAAGAGGACGCTTCTTCCTCCTCTTGAAGAGTGGTTGTAGTGCTCGTGTCATTAGTTTGTGCATGGAGTGGTTCTGGCTCGGCATCAGCGTTGACCCCATCTTGGGTCTCTGTATTCTCTTCAAGAGCGATGTCTCCATTGAACTCGGCTTCCTCGTCTAATTCGAAGTTGGCAAATGGGTCAATCTCGCTGTCAGCTCGTGCTGGAGTAAATTCGTCAGTAATAGTGAAAGAATACGTTGTGCTGAAGTCAGACAGGGTGCGGTGATGTTTGGATTGATGGGAACGAAGATATTGTACTTTGGGTGAAAGAATTTGCATGGCTCCGTAATTGCGCTTGACAGTTTTCCGGAATTCTGCTTCATCTTTGTTGTGATCTTCGACATACTCCGCTACACAGGGGGCACAGAGGCAGAAGTCGGGGTAGTAGCAAGAAAGGGAAGTGGAAGAGGATGAGGTCGCTTTACCATTTTGTTCAAGGCCGTCCTCATCGACAGCCTCCGGGTCCTCCGAACCAACAGCAGGAGCATTAACTGATATCTCAATCTGAGTTTCGGTTGCAACGTTGATATTGTCTCGATCGTCTTCCTCATGGCCGTCCTGGGAACTGGCCTGCTGGCCATCAACTCCCTGGTCATCGACTTCCAGGTTTTTGAACTCTTGACCCTCGGAACCAATGGCATTAGGGTTCGCATGTTCGTCTTCCAGGTATTCATCCTCATTTTCTGCTTCATCTATGTCGCTGTGATGTTCGTCATCAATTGGGCTGTCGAACTCGTCCAGTTCCTCATGAACGTCATCGATAGTTGCAGCTGTTTCCAGCATACTAGTTTCAGCAGTCATGGGAGTCTCGAAGAGATGGATAACTTCATCAAGCCCCTTCCCTGCCGTAGCACTCTCAACGAGATACTCGAAGCGCTTTTCTGCGTTAGGTTTGGTAAAAAGGTAGGCATACAGTGGGCGTGAGCCATCTGGGTCCTGGTTCTTGACAAGAAGGTCGAAAATTTCAAGAATCTGGCGGAGTGTCACGTTCGACATGGTCTCGCCTTGGGTTGTCTGTTCAAAATGTCAGCGCATTCTTGATGTAAGGCAGAGCCTTTTCTCACCTCAACAAGTTCGAGGCCAAGCTCATCGACCTGGAGTACCAAATCATCATCCTCGGCAATCTCATTTTCAAGCTCACTCCGAAGACCAGCAATCAACTTCTCAAGTGGCTCATCAAGAACCGAAGTATCGGAAAAGAAACCATGGGTGGTGGTGGAGAACATAGGAAATTCATCTCCTTTATACTGTACCGTTATAGCAGGAAAGCCCTCGTCTATCTTCCCATTTGAATCTTCTCCAGTAACTGAGTGATCCACATGATCCGCATCAGTGGTGGTGTGCTCGTCATATGCATCTGCGACATGTTCACCCGCGTCATAACCGTGATCTTCAACTTCCTCGACAGCTTCGGTAATTTCGTCATTTTGCCCTGTTGGCAAGGTAGTGGTTTCTTCATGACCATTCGCATCTTTTCCATCGTGTATTTCGTTGTTGCCACCGGATGTGTGAATATTTTCACCACTATACTCATCTGCCTTCGCATCCTCGGCTTCAGCTTCAACAGCCGTAACCTCATAATCGGGCTCTGCTTCTTCTTCCTCTTCTTCCTCCTTCAGATCGCCAGGCTCATTTTCATCATTGTGGCTTGGCATGTCATTCTCGTCTCCAGTGTGGTCGGATAACTCTTGTCCGGTTGCAGTAGCATCATTCTCAGGTTGTTGGTCATCTTGCTCTTCAGCATTACCGGCTGCTCCGTTTAGATCAGACCTTGTTGCAGGGCTTGCGGCAGCAGTTTTCTCATCTTGATGCGAGTCTTCTGGTTCTGCATTATCCTCAAATTCGTAATCAATCTCGTGTGCAGATGCATGATCGTCAGACACTGCATCGCCACGAACGATTATTTCATCCAAAATTTCTACATTCTCTCCACTTTCTGGCACGTCTTCGTCGGGTGGCTGAGCTGTTTGTATCGATCCCTGAGTCCCAAGCTCAGGAGCCTCGGTCACTTCATAATCCACACGTTCGGGACTGTTTGCGGTATCTTCGACATCATGTAGGTCAAAGTCTACATCTTCACCCGTGATACCGTTCGTCTCGTAGGCTTCATGATTCACAGCGTCCTCGTCTTCTTGCATTTCTCTATCCATGCTCTCCAAGTTGTCGTCGTTCTTTTGCAGGTCATGATTGGAATCAACCATGTCGGTATCGAAGTCGATGAGATCGTCCTCAACTTTACTGTCCAAGATTGGCTTGGCCATATCAATGTCCATTTCGATCTCCGTCATGTCTTAGGATTTTGTTTGGATTTTTCAGAGCCGGTCCTTCGGATCGATTTGAGTGGAAGAGAGTTGTGTGGAGGAATCGAGTGCTCAACGCGTTGAAAGCAGATAGAACTAAGGTAATTGGGGAAATGTACGTGCCCAAGGGCGGGAGTTTGCTCGCGTGGGGATGAAATCGTAGACGCGGTGGTTTGAATCAAACAGACAAAGACCAAGCTTGGCTAGAAATGTAATTTAGGCTGGTATGCGACATTTGATCCAGGTTGGTGAGATTGTGTTTGATAAAAACGAAGGACGCCCACGCGCGCCGTTCTTATAGTGCTGGAGTTTTTCCTTTGGCTTGTCTGTGAAAGAAAAACGTGAGATAGGGAGCTTCTGTTAAGGTTGAAGGTCGAAGTTGAGGAGAGTATATGGAGTTATGGACCACCTAGGCAGGCCTGGCAGGCAAGCTCTCTACCTAAGAATGAATTTCGTTGGTGATTAAGCAGTGGGTCCCAGAAAGGCTGAGTTGAGGTGAGTGTCAGGGAGGTAAGAGGCTGACGCTTACCTAAAAAGAGCTAGCGTGGGGTAGCTGGCTGCTGGGCCGTGCTGTTCTTTTCCTTCCACTTTGTACTGTAGCAGCAGCTCCTGAGGTGGGCTCCTGGCTTCCAGGTGGCCGTAAGAGGGGTACGTACCTCTCCATGCTCCTGCACCTCCCACCGACTTGAATATTGGCCCGCTCTATCTAACATCCAGGGGACGAGCATTCAACAACTTGCAACTCTCATCGCAATCAACAAACATCTGCTCGAATTAGTCCGCCAAGATGGTGCGCAACATCTACCACTATCATCCCTGCTTACATCATGTACTCATGCTCCCTAGGTCGTCCTTGCGGCTTCGATTTGCACCCGTGGAGGGAAAGCTGTCCTCTCGAGACAGTTCCGAGAGATGCCACGATCGCGCATAGAAGCCCTCCTCGCCTCGTTTCCCAAACTTGCCGATAGCGGTACGCAGCACACGACTGTCGAGCAAGATAACGTCCGATTCGTTTACCAGCCCCTCGACGAGCTCTACATGGTTCTCATCACCAATCGACAGTCCAACATTCTCCAGGACATCGACTCCCTGCACCTGTTTGCCCAGGTAGTTACCAGCACATGCAAGAGCCTCGACGAGCGCGAAATCGTCAAGAATGCCTACGAACTGCTCAGTGCTTTTGACGAGCTTGTCACTCTCGGCTACCGTGAGAACTTGACCATTAGCCAAATCAAGACCTTCCTTGACATGGAGAGTCATGAGGAGCGCATCCAAGAGATTATCGCAAGGGTAAGAAGTTCCATTGGGACCTCATTCACAAACGCATACTTATACCAGCATAGAACAAAGAGTTGGAGGCCACTGAGGAGCGAAAACGAAAGGCGAAACAGCTCGAGATGCAGCGCAAGGATGCTGCTCGCAGTGGTCGCGGAGCTATGGGTGGCATGGGCGGAATGGGCAGCAGCGGTGGTATGCCCAGAAGTCCTTCCTATCCCTCATACAACGCCCCTTCGCAATCCAATACCAGTACCTACGACTCATACGAGGCGGAGAAGAACAAGTCCTTCAGCAAGTAAGTGGCACTTACGGTGTTCTGAAAGACAATTGGCTAACACCTTCGAGACCGTTGGCTCCTAAGGCCAAGGGTATGCAACTGGGTAAGAAGTCCAAGACAACTGACATGTTCGAGCGAGTACGAGGTGACATGGGAGGCGAAATCGACGATTCACCTCTTGTCGCACCCGCACCCGTCCAGCATGCTGAAGCCGCCGAACCTCGCGTCTCGTCAACCCTTGATCGCGATGCTATCCACGTCACTATTTCAGAGACTATCTCGGCCAAATTGTCTCGCGAGGGTGCTGTCAACTCCCTAGCTATCAGTGGTGATCTTGTTCTCCGCATCTCAGACCCTAGCCTGACAAAGATCAAACTCGGCCTCCAAGCTGTTGCGTCACATGGCGTACAGTTTCGTACACACCCCAACGTTGACCGAAATCTGTTCAATGGCTCCAAGATTATCCAGATGAGCAACACTGCACGTGGCTTCCCGGTCAACAACGCTGTTGGCGTACTGCGATGGAGGGCTTCTCCCAAGGTTGATGACGCCAGCGCGTGCCCAATTACGTTTACTGTCTGGATCAACAAGGAGGGGGCCAAGTACAACATAACGGTCGAGTATGAATTGACTGGTAACGATGCCCTGAACGATGTTAGCGTCGTTATTCCCTATGCAGGTAGCGAGCCTGTTGTTTCAAGCTTCGATGCTAGCTATGATGTTTCTGGCGACGCTCTCGAGTGGACAATTGGCAACGTGGATGAGGAGAACCCCAATGGCTCATTCGAGTTCGAGGCCGAGTCCGGCGACGAGAATGATTTCTTCCCTATGACGGTTCGCTTCAACAAGAGCACACCATACATTGACGTTGACGTAAGTCCCTATCCCGACGTGCATACTTGGAGTACATGTTAACGATTTCACAGGTTCACTCCGCGTCTCTTTTGGAAGAAGAAGAGGAAGTGACGTTTTCCAAGGAGATCAAGTCTCACGCAGACAACTTCTTGGTAGAATAGACGGAACCCAAAAGTCTTTCGGTTTAGGAACAGCTTCTGGGCGAATTTACTCTATAAAAGGATAGGGATATGTATTTGAGTAGAGCCGGAGATAGGCATTAGTAGGAGTGTCTTGGCGGTTTAGAACCTAATGGCGCAACGACAATTGATGTTTCGTGTTTTGGTCAATCATTCTGTCAAATAAGTGGCCGTTGTTCATCATTATTGATTGACACGAAATCAGCTTCCAGACAGCTAATTATTACGCACGCAACAGTGAATGTTGTTGGGTAAGGTAGTTGAAATACAAAATCGAGGTATTTTCACTCATCATGGAGCTTTGTTATCACATCCTCGATGTTATTTTCTCTTCCTCGTTCGTGCCTGAGCTGTATAGTGCGAGTTACTCACTAATGCACGGTCCATACTCACTAAATCCTCCCTGTGGGCTTGTTGTTGCTCAGTCACAACTTGCATACAACATTGCACTCTCCAAGCAACACGAAAAGTGATGTTTTTCAGCTCATAGGGATGTTGCAAGTCCTCTGAAAATACTCTCATGGGCTGTGTCGACGCCACAGATAAACATGACGCAGCGACACCAACTTGCGCCCTTCAGCGCGACTGAGTATCAAGACAGGGCACCTGATGGCTACCCTGTGAGCTGCCCGACTCTAGATCTCACAGCAACCTGGGACCCAGTGGACAAGAACATACTGGTGTATAGACCTCCTGGTCAAGTCGTTTCCAAGATTCACCAAGTTGGTGCGCCTGGCCAAAAAGCACCAGACGCGCAGGCAGTTACTTGGAGGTCTGATGGTCAGTAAGCAAATATTCCATGATCGAAAAGACGACTCATTTAATCATCGTAGGCCAGTTCCTTGCAGTCGGATGGAGTGACGGCTTTGTGCGATTAATGGGGCTCGAGAACAACAAGGCAGCTCATCATATCAAAGTTGGCGAATCTCCAGGGAGCAAGATCACGCACATTGGATGGGCGAGTAGCAGTATTGCTGGGAAGAGCTCCAGCGCCGTATCTCAAGCTCTGAAGTATGGCCTCGGTGAAGATTCAATGCACAATGGGGATGGGCTTCCATTGGATCTTCCTCGTGAACTGACTTTCCTCGAGGTTGACACAGCATTACCCAAGATCAGCCCTCTTCCCAGCAGTAGTGCCGGCTCCGGGTATGTCTTCAGCTTCCACGGTCGAGCCCAGCATACTAATAATTCCTTCGCAGAGAAGATGCTTTGGTTTTCACGTTGAGAACTGGTATAGACTTCCTCTTCCAGCCCCCAAAGCCAGAGGAGTATGATCAAGTCAGTGTTATGATCATCGGGACCAGCGATGGTCAACTCCAGCTGAGCATATACGATTCGTTCATCATTGGCAGCTTTCAATGCCCTCAGATTAACCCGTCAAGCTCGCAGCTAATTCTTCATGCATCGCACCCACATATATCAACCCAGGCTTTACTAGTCGCAGACAAAACAGAAGAGCCAGAAGAAGTGCACCTGGTGCCTATCGACCTTCCCTTCATCTCATCCCACCCTATCAACCTTTCTCTCCTCGCCTCCAAGCTAACCAATCTTCAAAAGCTATTGAGATATCTAAAGCAAGCACAACTTCATATGCAGGTCGAATGGCGAAACACGCGCGAGCTTCCCACAAGATTTCTGCGAAGTATTGAAGGCGATCTCGAAAATCTCGAGACCGGGCCACGAAGTATTGTCCCTGCTCTATACCATTTGGCCGTGACAGGTCACGCCTTTGAGCCTGTACGCGAGTGGTTGGTTGAAAGTCTGGCAGAACGAGTAAGTGACTGGGAAATTCAGGCTTCTCGTGACATTGGCTAAATTCTTCAGGGCCATAAACGATGGGATAAAGCAGTAGTCTCCGGCTTGGAGGGCCTCAGAAATTTAGTCCACGAGAACTTCCTCCCAGCTCTTGATCGCTGTGCAATCATCCTAAGCAGGCTGCGAGGCTTGGCTCAGTTTCATGACACCCGAGATGACATCGGATTCACTCTCCAGCAAACTAGTCGCTTGATGGATATTGTCCAATGTCTCCAACTCATCGGTCACAAGGTTCTGATCAACGTGATGGACGAACTTGATAGCTTCACCGCGTTCTCAACATGGCTTCGCTTCCAGATCGACCGGCTTGCCTCTTCTAGCTCCGCGAGCGAGGAGCTCACGGAAAAGGAGGCAACCATGGACATTGCAAAGGTTCTGAGTTACATTGAGAATTATCTCATCGATAGCCCGCTAAGGCTATTCTTTGACGAAATGACCAGAGAAGACTATGAAGCAGACTGGGCACATATAGAAGATGGTCCAACTCTGCTTCATGTCCTTGATCAGGCGTTAGGAAAGTGTGAGAACGGCCAGCCCAGCATGAAAGCTCTCCCCCGTGTCGAATTTCTTGTATCATATGCCACGACCTGGGCGAATCGCACATTCAAGGGCATTGCAGAGGCAAAGAAACGTAGCGTTCGACTTGGAAACCCAATTAGACTCTCAGCTGGTCGTGTGGTGTCACATAGAGATATGAGGATGAGCAAATCAAAGAAAAAGGTGCTTGAAATTCTTTGGGTGACTCATCTATGTACTGACATCGAATCAGGAAACAAATGTGGTTACTGCCTTGGCATCTAAAGAGGCTAAAAACGAAGGTGAGATGAGCCCTGTTAGATGACCTGAAGAGCTATTCTTGCTAACAGATGGAAGTTCAAATATTCTCCGTCAGCATCGATATTATCAATGGCATCAGTACCAACAGGCCGCCAAAAGGTTGCCGTATCGATCTTGGCTCACGTACATTGATTGACTTGAAGTTCCTCAACGACGAGACACTTGCCATACTAAGTAGCAGTCAAGGTGAGCTAAGCAGGAAGTTTCTTCATGCAACAAGTATGATGCTAATGTTGCAAAAAGATACCGGGCCGCAAGTTGTCTGCGTACCTATCCGAGCAGAAAGGCTTACATATGCCGAATACGATCCCAGCAGGCTTAGTGAGACACCTTGCGTATCAGTTGATGGATTTACGGCCTACTCTTTTCCGGAGAAGTCAGTGTCTAGACCATTACGTATGGAGGTTAACGACAGGAATAATGTCAGGGGCGACATGCCCCAGAGAGTCTGCGTTGTCGAGAGTAATCGCACCACTATCAAAACGTTTACTTTTCCGTAGCTCAAGCTGCCACGCGGTTCACTCCGATAAAAATCAAGGTAGAAATGGGAGAACTTGGAAGGTAATCCGAATCCGGCGTCATGGACTCTCAAAAACAGATGTTGACAAAGACGCTAGCTTAAATAATTTACAAGGTAGAACAGAAATATGAAGTGCCTCCCCATTCCACTCATGGCAGTCAAGTCACTGCTGCCGAGGCTTAGTGATGTTGAAGAACTCGGTTAATCCCTCAACAACGGCCTCGACATTCATGTTGACCAGGGGCATGCTATCGTACGAATCCTCCTTCATGATAGCGACAAGGGCCAGGTAACGATCCACTTCGCGCAGCATGATGGGCTTGTTTCCGTCGTGTAGGACAAGACAGCTTTCTGCAGTGTTGCAGCCAATCTGCTTATCGATAGGTGCGCTCCAAGGTTCACCCTCGAGACGACGCCGTCCTTCGTCACTGCGCTGCCACGTACCATAGACCTCAGTTATATCAATGATGACATCAATGTAATCACTGCAGATCTCGTAGCTCGCCATATCAGCAGTTGCGCTGTCAGTGGCGATATAGATCTTTGTAAGCACATCAAAGAGGTATGCCTTCTCGAAACGGCACGTGCGGCAGAGGTTGGTAAGCATGGATTCCAGCGTTCCGAGGCGAGGAATGAGCTTCTGGATAACCTTGCTGAAAGCCTCGAAAATAGAATGGTTGTAGATGGAGGTTAGGTGGAAGGTGACAGGGGCGTTCTCAAAGCCGTGGTCTGACAACTCGTCTTGGATACGGATAGTGATGTCGCGCTGAATATCGAGCTTATAGTCATCTGAGAGGCCGTCAACCTTGTGGATGAAGACCTCGATATTGATGTTGGGGTATGTTCGCTGAAGAAAAAGGATCGTGGTGTTGAGGCGCATGACTGCTTCGAGGTAATCATCCTGAGCGTCGATGACCCAGATTAGGGCTCCAATCTCGCTGAAGATTGCCTCTATGTCAAATCCTGGGTTCTCAAAGACGTCGATCTGGCCTGGGAAGTCCCAGACTTGGAAATCCATGAATGAGCTATGCAATTATGAGTCTATGATCACCACGGCCAGGGTATTGGTAGCACTAACGCCATGGAATCCTTCTGAATTCTAGCCGTTGATTCAAGGAATAGAGTCTCGTTCGGGGGCAGCTTGTGGAAGACTACACTCGAGATGGATGACTTTCCGCTCCTATGACATACTGTTAACTGAAGTCTGCTCTCTTCTCCCGCGCATATCATACCTTCGTTGACCCATGAGTAATAGACGCGGCTTCCCCTTAGGAGCTGCGCCAACAGAATTGGGTCCGGGGGCGGCAGGCTTTTGTGCATCCTTTTTAGATGCCGGAGCTCCGCTAAGTGACTGTTCAAAAAGACGTTGAAGGTTTAGCTGGGCTGGACTTGTTCCGCTGGCAGATGTATCATCTGCCTCATCAAAGGAGCGCGCAAGGTTGTAAATTGGAGGACTGAGTGACATTTTGGGGCTGGTGCTATGGCAATGAGAAGGGGTAAGGGTGTTGAGGGTATTGGGTTATGGTTACGGGTTCCTGGGTTTGAGTGAAACTGGATATCAGGTTTGCTCATGTCACTTGATATACAGCAACACTATCCTGAGGATTCATCTCCTTTTATTGTCCTCTTTCGTTGTGTAGAATCAAGATGGCGAGCTATCAGTGGTTGATACGATGGGCACTGACGGACAGGGACATGAAATACCCGCCAACTGGCAGCACCTGATACATCGGAGCAAAAGGATCCCAACCCATCCATTGCATTATCAGGCGAACTGAAGGCGTAGAGGGCTCCAGCTGGCGGGATTGGACGTGGTGAGGCTTCAGCGGTCTTTAAACCCCAACTCGTACTCATACTTGCAGGTAAGCGTGGCTCGTATAGAGCCTTGCCTCACCACGCCTCGCGTTGTATAAGAGACGCGTATCCTCCCTTGAGGTGACACAGACTCCTCTACACAGCAGCGGCCCAGCCAAGCGAGTGTCCATCGAATCAGGGCGTCCACAGAGCTGCCAGGACGCTGATGCTGTAATTTTGTGGCCGGCGCCACGACCGAGTACCAATCTTTACCTCGATGGAGGCCAGGGTTTGGTGACATTCTGCGGGAGCTGACAGGATAGGAGGAACCCTTAGAGGTGACAGCATTGTTGCGCTGCGCTGTGCTGCGCTGTGCCGTGCTGTGTCGTGCTTTGTTGTATCGTGTTGCATTGGTCACACGATGGGTCAAGCGCACACTTGAGCATCGAGACATGAGAGAGAAAAAGAAAGGCATGGGAAATCAGACGCAACAAGCACTAGTATCTTACCTCCATTTTGCGTCCCAGGTCCAGCTATTCTGTGCTACACGACAACTCCCGTCCTAGTGGTCAACTCTCCGAGGCTGGGTTGGTCCGAATGTAGGACTGAGAGCAAGGCTGTGAGGCTGAGAAAGTCAATTGCTAGGCTCAGTGATTGATTGATGAGTGAGTGAGTGAGCCAGCGTATCGGCGACAAAGGTTGCTTGCTCCGGTGTTTGATTGGCAGATGCGTATACGATACGATGGAGGACAATGGTCGGCTATGACGAGAAATATGGGCATGGACGTTCTATAGGTGATGGATGATTTATGCGTCTCCAGGTGCAGGTTGTATGTGTATGTGTACGGTCTTGAAATTGTCACTTGGAGGTGGTTGGAGCACCTAATGACTGACGACTGCCCGCCCGCCCGCTCAAGCAGCAGCTGATAGCGCTGAAACTCCCCGCAATCCACTACCTGGAACGAACTCAGGTGGTTTTCTACCAGTAGAGAGGCCTGGATGTAGGCACATACCTAGGTGACTTCATGCAATCTAGGGGACGGACCTAAGCTTCAGATATGATAAGTGGCAACATATTTATATATCATCTCATGACTACCTGGCTTCATTCCTTGACTGCGAGGGGGCCCTGTTCTTTCAATATTTTTCTTGAACTTCTCATGTTAACTGTACCGACATGCGCAATCTGCAGCTGGCTACCCTGTACCGAAGCCATAATATCTGACTTAACAATTCCCTCCATATAATTCCGCACCAACAAAAGAGTGTCATCGACATCTCAACCCTCTGATCACTTCGGTTGGCTATGTAAGTATCTAACTAGCTAGCAGGTATTTGTGCATTCATTTCCTCTCACTCCGCTTCTCTCTCCGCCAAACGACTTGCCGACCTGGGAAACAGGGCATGGATGAAACTCTTCCTTCGCTTTAACGTCTTTGTGTTGTTCTTCTCGGTCTCGGGTTCGTTTTTCGCAGCCTTTCCGAGAGCTTCTGTGTCATTAGATGATATGCCATTCGATGTGCTGGGATTTAATGCAGGTACACTCTCTGATGCAGTCATCTTACTCTTGAGTTCTCGAAATGCCTACTCATGTTGATCAAAACCAGCTCCTTCAACATAGCAATAAACGAGACTCACCTTACTAGATCTTCTCCTCGGCGCTCTAATCGAACTTCGGCGGTCCGCCATCGCCTGTGTCTCTTCCATCACTTCTGTGATATACCCAGCAAGTGTGTTGCCTTTCCACCCAGCGCAGTCTTCAGCCAGGGGAACGAATCTCAAGAACCCCTTGGATGGTGGAATCCTCAGGGCCTGCTCCATGTGTCTCTGAAAGAGAGCAATGTTTCGTTTGTTTGTTGTCGTCTGAACGTCTCGAGCGAGAGCCTCGATTGTCATGGTATAGCAAGGATCAGAACTACCACCAAACTGAATACAGATCCCATGCTGGACTGCCATTACGATAGAATATGCTGGGCGATTATATCGTAACGAGAGGTACTCGGATAGTTCAGTGATGAAGGTGAACTCATCTTCAATCTAGGTACAGGGCTGAGTGTTAGCAATATATTCTCCAGGGCCATGCAGCGCGCCGACTTGCAATGACGTTGGTTTTGATTTCTACCAGTACAGGAGACTCATTCCGTATTCGATCACCGGGGTCTTGCGTATGCTTGGAACCGAATGCTTCCTCGAAGAAGTCACTTCGTTTTCTGGTAAGTATCGGTAATGATTGCTTTCTCGTCACTTTGGCAGCATCCCCGGAGACAATCTGCTCTACATCTCTTGAGAGTCGCTGATCGCTCTCCAGAACAGGATCGAGACTTGGCCTGCTGAGGCGAGGCTTGACTCTTCGCTCTCCCGGGAGTAGTCTTGGGGTTGTACTTGGAGCTGGAGCTGGAGCCGAGACAGGAGTTTCTTGCTTTTGCCGTGGTTTCGAATTCGGAGGCTTCGTAGAGGTGCGACTTGGGATATAAGGCAAAGCCATTGCCGGTGATAGATGCATGGTGACAACAGAAGCTTGCAAAGTCGGGATCACGACGATGTAAAAGGAAAGTTACGAGCGCATGAAAGCCATTGAGTGCCCAGAGATGGCTTGGTTATTTGTTACACGCGAGATCGTTGTGCGCCCATACTTTGCGGTGATGTGCCATTTGTATCAAAAGAAATCGAATATAATATCAAGCCAAGGGAATAGGTGTATATGATTATGAGCACAATCCGTATCACGCTCTGTGATCAAATACGCAGGAGGCTTACGGCAGGTGAACAAAGAGACGACTCTATAGCAATTCGATGTGCAGAAGATATATCGAGGTTGAATGCAGTACACAATAAAGTGAGGCGTCTTTGTGCCGTAGCTGGTGTTACGAGGACTGCAGGCTTCCCTGCGTTTCCCGCTCTGTTCTTCTATAGGTGAAACCCGTGTCACGCAATCACTATACACACAGTTGTGGGTTCAACAAGGACAGTTGATTGTAACTCAGACTTCCTCTTGGCTCAGGCGAGGTCCGATGGGCAGGTATAGAATATTCATAATCGAGGACTGACAACACAGTTCAAGGTGTAAATGGATCCTTTGTTAGCGAGGATGCATTGCGGCCTTACCTTCTAGGATAATGCTGATGAAACCAGCGCCTGACTGGGCCGTCTCGTGACGAGAAATGGCCTGTCAATGCTTGTCAATTCATCCTTCGATTCATGCCTTCTAGGCCTTGTCTAGCTTGTTTGAGTGGTGCAGGTGTGAGTATGTATGGCTAAGGGTGATCAATTGTGTGAAGGAATTCATGTTACTGTAGCATTCGGGTGCTCAGCTACCCTGGAGATGTATGAATGTACACAGGTGCTTATAGGTGCAACGGATGGCTACGGTACCTGACATCGGTACGTACGTTTTTGTCTGTCTTGTGACTGATGAACATAACATTACTCGTATTGTTCCTAATAATGGAATGGGCTGCAGCCACTCGGGGCATTATGTTATTTACCCCATTGTAATGCAAACAATTGCCCCTACGTCTTATCATATTTGACAGCACCGAGGAGACGGAACACCTTAAGTTAGAGTTTCTGCTAATCGCTGCGAGGCATCAGGGGCTTCCAAACTGTCGGAATGTCTATAAAATTATCCATCAGACCTAGACTGACCTGGACTGGTTCACAGCCCGACTGTTAACATACTGTACTGTGCAGTATGCATGCGCTAGGCATGGCCGAGCGGTTGGTTCTGGTCCTGGCATTTGTCTCGGCGTGTATGTACAGAGTATGTCTGTACATAAAAAGAAAAGAGAAAAGAGCGTTGATTAATATTCCAAATATGACCTATCGCAATCGAAACCACATTGAGCTTTGTTTTCAGCCCCAGCTCCAAATCCTCACAACAAAAACAGAAGACACTAGACTACCTACGTATGTCTCCATTGTATGTATAATGAACCCATGTTTGATGGGTTCCAATAGTCTCAAGCCCCCCCTTGGGCTGATTATGACACCCCACAACTAATTCCGATCCTTTGAATGTTCCATCGATCCAACTCGACTTGTATCAGGCGATCAGACCTGATATCTCAATGATCTGAACCCAGGCCCAAGGCCGTGGGACTCTTGCATACAGTATTGGCTCCAATCTCCCAATCTCGATATCATTTTCAAGACAGGGCAGGGCTTCCCGCTTTGCGGCTTGGTCCACGAGCACCCAAGTCGAAGCGTTTCTCTAGGGTGAACTGGTACGCCGCCAACCCCAGAACTATAGCTTCGACGGGAACTAGCATGACAGAGAGCGCTACACCGGCCCGGCTCTGTTTGCAGAGCGTGCCGAAGTGAGGCTGCACGTTCATGGTCACGTCCTTCCAGCGACATGTCCAGCTCTGAAGCGAATCGTTGGTGGTGGAGGCATTCACCCCGTAGAAGAATGACATGGCGATGATGGCGGCGATCAGGGCGACAGCAGGGGGCACAAATGTGATTGCTGCCCTGACTGCAGCGTTTCTGCGGGCCTTGTTTGCATCACGACCGTTAGTTTCAGAACCAAAAAGCAAATACAACAGGAAGAGACTGGGGGGTCGCCTTACAGTCGGAAGCTTGCCGGCGATCAACGAGACAAGATTGGCCACAATAACCAGGGCACTACCGACTACCAGAGCTACGGTAGGGCGCATATCGAAGTTGGCAGGCCATAGTTGAAGTAACCAATCTTCCGGGACATAGGTAGCATGGAAAACAGCGAGGGCATCCGCCGAAACACCAAGGATTGTCAAGCCAGCTGCGAGACCGAGGACTGTGAGGCCCAGTCTAGCGCTGTCGATCAAGCGATAGATACGGAAGCTGGGATTGGTTCGAACCGACTCAACGTCTGCTTCGAAGTTGGACGCTGAGATCTCTGTCTTGGTACCGATGGACATGTTTCTGCTGGAAGACTCCATTCTGAGGATATAGACCGAGTATATAGATGTATATTGACCAGAGAGGGATCACAAGGAACAAGACTAACGAAAGGTTCAAACCCCCAAGACCGGCTGGAGAGGAAAGGAAAGAGTATAAGAAAGAAGAAAAGGAAAAGGAACCAAGCGTAAATACGAAAGAGCTATGAATGGATATTGAATTAGTTAGATAGATCATGGGGATTTGCAACATAGATATACGAGATTGATCACAGCTTAACAAGCTCCGTTAACCTTAAGCGACGAACACCCATCACAATAACAGTGAAGAGGCCAATCGTGTCAAGGCGATCGGGGTGATAGTTGGAAGCGCCTATGCAAGAATTGCAGCATAGGCGCGCTGGTTGGTGTTTGGTGTGAGAGATAGACATCAAATGCTGGGCTAGGATTGGCCGAAGCTCTAACTGCAAGAGTTGAGCGTGTTGCCTCGAGCGCTTAGACTGACATTGAGCCACTCAGAGACAAGCATTATTCCCCAAGATAGGAGATGGCTGTCACCAAGATCTATTTTGGGGTCCGTGTCAAACCGTTGGCGTGAGCGGTTATGTACGTTGATAAGTACCTTAGTAACTACCTAGGGCATGAAGGCTGCAGGAACGGTCTACCAGTGGTCGGCCACTGAGTTTATCCATCTATCAAGCAGTGAGACTCGGACATTCCAATCTCTTTCCAATCATGGTCACATGGTTTATCACCTGACCAGCCTACCTAGGGAGACGCCACAGCTCACGCCACAGCTCCACTACCTACGGAGTAAGTCCCTAAGTCCTGACAGCTTTCAACTTTCTAACGCCCCCGACCGAAGTGGATCCCGAAAATATTCGGGGCTAGACTTGGCATCGCGCTCCGAAAAAGTCAAGATGAATCAAAGTCTTCGATGTAACATTTCTTTTCAGCTTGCGGATACTGTACCTACATACCGTTCCAACCCTTTATTACAGCAGACCAGCGACCGGGGGGCAGTTAGTATTTGGAAACCGTTAAACTCGTCGGTCGGTCCGCTACTTGTCGGAAATGAAACCTGCTGGCTGGTTTGCTTTTTGCCAGTCAATACGGACTACGTATTGCTTCGCAATCGAGGCTGACCGGCCCGTGACGTTTTAATATCGAACTGCTTCACATTTGCATAACATACTCGAACTGCCGGGCAGATCGCTGCGGCCTGACCATCATCGTTCGTACAAATCCTTGCGGCACAGCACAGCCCAGAGCATGACCAGAGACGACTATACTCTTCCAGAATGTCTCATATCTATCCATTAACCATGGCCGTTTCACGATGGCTGCACCAAAGAGACGATGAACGAACTCGTCCTAATAATGATGTCGATAATGTGACACAAAGGCTGATGTTGACGTTGGCATGCGCCAAGATGTTCAAGGCTTTGGAGGCTTGGAGCTCCCTCAAGCCTCAAGCCTCAAACCCCTCTATCAACAAGACGTTCTCTGGCGCTGCGAGGCGTCGCGGATGATCGACAGTAGCGTTCTCGCCGGTTACGGTTAGGACGCCAGGACCAACAAGGGCCCGTCCTTTTGCATCCATGCAAGCCGCTAATTAGACGAGTCAATCAGAGTGGGCAATACAGGAAAAGGGTCTGACATGATCCCTAACGTTCAGTAATCCAAAATGCGCTACCCTTGACATCCTGACATCCTCACAAACTTAGATCTCGGATTCTGGAGAACTGAGACAGAGACCAGCATAGAACCTTTACTGGTACCTCTTGAGTAGAGTACGATATCTACATATCATTGGCGGGCTATGAGGGCTCAACTGAAAGATCCCGGCCCTTGTCTTGAGAACATTAAGATACTCATCAGCAGGATGCAGATCTAATCTAACACAATGCAGTTGCTAATCACCTTTTGGAGGATTGGATATGGTATGTTGTTTTCGAAAGCCCCGCTGTCGTCTTTGGGCTCAAGACCAGCTGAATACTAGGAAGAGATGGTGGACTACGTGAATTCTATACGTCGTTATGCCGACGGCAATATGACATCTGCTGCTGGGACTATGAACCTAATGCAATCTTTATGTCCTGCAGCTGTTTAGCGCACATCATTTTTGGGACATGATTGGAACAGAAATGACAGTTCGACAACAACAGATGCAATGCATCAAAGAGCTGAGGCTACTGCAAGACCCTTCGGCAGCCCACATAACCAGAGAGCATGTCTGGCACTTTCAAGTATCTTCAACGATGGCTAGATTAGAACCGGCCGAACTACCCCACGATGCGCTATGTTATGATAATCACCTGGGATCAAGAACTTGGAATAATTGGGTTTGTATGTCTGTATGTATGTACGTATGTACATTACAGCCTTGGCCCTTGCGACCGGGAACCATGAACGGCATGTGGATATAAACTACACAACCGTCACTTTGATGTCCCACACCGGAGAGCGCGATGAGGACGAGAACAGACAAAGAGGCGTTATCTGTGGATCAAGACACCCCCTCGGGGGGAGTGTGTTTCGAAGTCCTCGAAGGAGGAAACAAGAGATCAAGACAGTAAAGACGTCTTGTCTAGATCGGAGTAGCATCATATGACATGAGACACGA